TGTTGGGGCCTCCACGTCACACTCCGAACACAGGCATCTCAAGGGGACTCTGAGTGTGTGGGTCTCCCTGCACCCTGAGCTGTGGGGAGCGGTGTGAGCTGAGACTCGTGGAAAGGAAAGGGGGTGTGACAAGAAAATGCGTCTGTGGGTTAATTGTTGAGAAAGGCTAGGAGGTGTGCCCCGGACAGCTTCCAGGCGTGGGCCCTGGTTTCTGCGGTTCTAGGTGGCGGGCAGCCAGGGGTAGCCAGCACCGGGTCTCCCCCTCCTCCGTAGGGGGGAGGGACAAGCTTCCCCATCCCTCCTATGTGCTGAAACTGGGGTCTGCAACTGACCCCAGGGAAGGGGAAGACCAATAGGAGAAAGGCAACTACACTTTCGTTATTTATTTTTAGATCTATAAACTTTATTTTATTTGACAAAGTTACACAGAGAGAGAGGTAGGGAGATCATCCATCTGCTGGTTCACTCCTCAAATGGCATCTACAACCGGGGCTGGCCAGACCAAAGCAAAAAGCCAGGAGCCAGGGGCTTCTTCTGGGTCTCCATTCCACGCAGGCACAGGGGGCCAAAGCTTTGGGCCATCTTCTGCTGCTTTCCTAGGCGCATTAACAAGGAGCTGGCTCAGAAATGGAGAAACCAGGACTCAAACTGGCATCCATATGGAATGCTGACACCCCAGCAAAGGATTAGTCAGATATGCCCGTAAGTCAGGGACCCCACTATTTTAATATTTATGTGCCTAGAGGTCGTGGCAGGCCGAAGGGATGACTCATAGCCATGGTCAGATGGGAAGCCGTTTTACAAGGCAACGCATGGTGGGGAGATAACAAGATAAAGGAACAGGATGTGGGGCACTAGCACTGGTGAATCAGAGGAGGATTAATGAGATAGAAATTATCTTATCTGGGCCATTTGTGCAGGACCTCCGGTGGCCACTGCCCATGGCGGGGGAGGAAGGAGGCTGTACCGAGTGGGCACGGAGCCCTCTCCGCCTTCGGTGCTGCTTCAGCACGTGTAACGCCAGCCAATCCTCGTGCCAAGGGGGTGCACTGGGGGGCTGGGTGGTCGACAGGGCTGCCCCCATACCCAGGTCCAGAGGCAGTGATGACAGGGCAACCTGGGGAGAGGCACACGGGAGGGGAAGCGGGGCACGGCCTTCACGCACATTCCACTGCCCTGAGTCCCACCTAGTACAGCTTCTGATCCAGGGACCTCGTGTACTCGGGGTCAGGCCCGATGCATGCTCGGCCCCACCCTGCTGCCAAGCCCCTGGGTGTGGGCGGGCACTGCCCAGGTGCCACTCAGCTCCCCAGCGCCTTATCTGCAGGCGGGTGGCAGTCTCTGCAGCAGGTGCACCCGGACGTGGGATGGATGGAGGAGGAGAGCAAAGGCCGTCGTGGGTGGGGACGTGGTGCGATGCTGCCGGAGTTGGGGTCCAGCACACTGCTCACCCAAAGGCAGCAGGCTGGCCAGCAGCTCATCAGCTCCTTTCTCTGGCCCCTGGTAGAGCCGGTGAGTGAGTCTGGCAGGAAGACAGGGCATGCACTTGGCTGTGCACTTGGCTGGATTTGCCACAGGAAGGGGGTTGTCTGAATCATGATCCAGCCAGGAAGTTCAGAGACACCAGGGGTTCATCACTGACACGGGGCTTCACGCCCAGGCTCCTGAGTGATGACGGAGTGAGCCGGGAACCCGTGTGCCCACGGCTTCTTCCACGGTGAACACCTTCCAACAGGGTAAACAGCCAACAACCCCAAACCAACTCCACATCCCTGTAAGAAGCTGTTTATTGAGAATCACGCGATATGGCCGAAGTGGCTTCCTATGCCCAGGGCACAGCCACTGCTTCACTCACAGACTCGTCATCTCTGGAACTGCTGCGTTGATTCTAACTTCTTAAAAGATTTATTTATTTTTATTGGAAAGGAAGATTTAAAGAGAGAAGGAGAGAGGGGGAGAAAAATCTTCCATCTGTTGATTCACTCTCCAAATGGTTACAACGGCCAGTGCTACATCAGTCCGAAGCCAGGAGCCAGGAGCCTCTGCTGGGTCTCCCACACAGATGCAGGGTCCCAAGGCTTTGGGCCATCCTTGACTGCCTTCCCAGGCCACAAGCAGGGAGCTGGATGGGAAGTGGAGAGCCAGGATACAAAACAGTGCCCACATGGGATTCCAGCACTAGCAGGAGGATGATTAGCCAATTGAGCCTTTGCGCTGGACCCTGATTCTAACTTTCGTTTTTGATATTTGGAGTCTTAGCTGTGCTTCCTAAGCCTTCCCAGCCAGCCCGCCCAGCAGCTGTGAGGGCTAGGAGAACCCCAGACGAATCTGCAGTGCTGTCCTTGCCAGCGCCCACGGCTTCGCCCTCGGCATTTGGCCAGCAGCTGTTCGGTCCTAACAGTTGTCCATGGGTGGCTAAAAGGCAGGCGTGGGTCGGGAGCAGCCGAGACTTAGTAACAAGCACTCAAACCGGGAGCAGGGGCAGCAATCCGCGTGTCAGACCCATGTGTAGCTGCGCGTGGAAGATTCCACCCTTCTCCACAAAGCTGGAACTGCTACGAGTATCTTTGTGCTCATCTCACAGTGAGCCGGAAAGAACGGGGAAGACAGGCGTTCGCGTAGAGAGCGAGTCAGCCCTTACAGGGATCCACCTTCTTCCGGAACTGTGTATGTGTCTGTGTATGTTAACCCTTAAATCCTGGCGTAATACAACTTCAGGGCACATGAGACAGAGAATTTAATATTGTTGTTCACAAAGAAGGAGGGCCTGGGCCCCTGCCAAGCCCGTGGCAGTTCCCGGCTCCCGGCTCTTGGCCGGCCCAGCCCCAGCGGTTGCAGCCATTTGGGGAGTGGACCAAGGGGACAGAAGCACTCTCTGTCCCTCTGTCTCTCAAACGCCATGTGCAACATGTGGGCAGACTGCTGGGCGGGGACTGTGGGAGGCAGGCCCACCAGAACACTCAGTGACACTGGTCACTGGAGAAACGCCAGTCAATGGGGATGAGATCCCACGTGACACACTACAGCAGCCAAAACGCTGCTCAGCAAAGCCGCAGGAAAAGTAAGCGTGCAAAACCATGCACCGATTCTGAAATGGCTTGCATCCGCATGAAGCTGCCCTTCACAGGTGTTTATGAGTTGCCCTAGCCCAGGGCTGGGAGGGGTGTGGGCAGCACCTGCCATTCTGGGCCATCGTTGGTAGCAAGGCAGCCTGGAAGCCTGCTTGGGAAAACAGCTCAACCCTGCCTCCACCATCCCCTGGGGAAGAGGTCTTCACCCAAAGTGTCCACTGTGCCCAACAGGTTCACTCACAGGAGCAGCCCAAGTGCCCACTGGCGGGTGAGTGGGCAAGCAAAGGATGAGTTATCCACAGCCAGGGGCAGGCCCAGCAGCAAGAGGGGCCAGCATGAGTGGGCCCCAGAGCTGCTCATAGCGTATGGGCTCAGGACGCCCCACATCGAGCAGTCAGAGTCAGTGACATCCACAAGTGGACAGGACAACAGACCCCTGGCTCCCAGACACCCTGTGGACATCCAGTGCCAACTGCGGAGGCCCAGCTGGGGCCACAGAGCAGGCACTGTGGGTGTCCCACAGCAGGCACTGTGGGTGTCACAGGGTTGCGAGTTCTCCAGGGCCTGTGGACTACAGCTGCCAAGCAAGCTGATCAGACCTGGCACCTGTCACGCAGCCAAGGTGGGCCCATGAGCACCTGACCTCGGCTTCCCCTGGGGGCCAAGCTCCGGTATTTAGGATTCCAGGACTATGAGCCGCTTTAGGGAGAGCCGCATGGACAGACAGTGTGAGGTGTGTGAGGTGGGTGGGAAATACCTAGAGAGAGAAGGGGACGGGGCAGGCTTACACCTCCAGGACCATAAAGAAGGGGATGCAGAGGCGTGTCTGAGCGACTCCACTGGCCCCTGACCTGGCAGGCTCAGGGAATCTGAGATGGATCAGAACAGCTGGGGAGCCCCCGGCCCAGGAACACCAGGCAGGGTGGGGCAGGATGGGGAGAAGGGGGGAAAGGAGAGAGGAGGGGAAAAGCAGAGGAGAAAGAGAGAGAAGTGGAAGGGAAGGGGAGGGGAGAAGGGAGCAGAAGGAGGACAGGGGAAGGGAGGGGGGAAGGGAAGGGGAGGAAGGAGAGAACAACGGGGGGAGGGGAGAGAGGAGGGAGAGGAAGCTGGGAGAGAGTGGAGGTGGAGACAGGATAAGAGAGAGAGAGATGGGAAGGAGAGGATGGGGAGAGGGAAGAGAGGGTAGAGGAGGGAGGAGGGGCGTTCTTGGGAACTGTCTCAAGGGCCCTACCCAGGCAACTCAGACAAGCCTCTCCTGCGCTACCCCATGAAGCCCCATTCCCTGCGGGACCCTGAGCCAGGGCAGGGAGGGCGTGCAGACCCCAAAGCCCTCTCTCAAGAACCTGGCAGGACCTCATCTCTCTCCAAGCTCGAGCTCCAGGCCAGAACCCCAGAGGAGACACACGTGGGCTTCCCCGTGGCACGCACCCTGGCAAGGCTGCTGCCGGCTGGGAGAGGTGCCCAGTGAGGGCCCGCATTGCCCACCGTAGCCTCTCCTTCCTGAAGCCAGGGTCAGCCCATGTGTGGTCCTGCAGGGGACCCCAGTGCTGGAACTCCTGAGGGCTGCTGGGGTCCCTCAGGCTGGGTTCCCTGTGCTGCCGACAGTGGCCCACGAGCGGCTCTCCAAGAATGTCATGGGGACGCAGGGTACACACGTGGTTACATACTATACCCACATGCACACAGACCTGCATACACACAGATGGACACGTGTGCACACACTCACACAGATGGACACCCCCTCCACTGTCACCATCTCTGTGCCAAGGAAAGCAGAGTGGAGCGTGGCAGCTTTGAAGACTTCTCTTTACTTGGTGCAATGTCAAGCAGAAGACAGACAGGAGCTCAGGAAACACGAAGCCGCTAAAGGGGCGACTCTTCTTGTGTCTCGAGGCTGTGTGAGCCAGGCGAGGTCCTTGGCGCAGGGCATCAGTAGTGGCAGTCTAAGGCAGATATGCAAGAGGGTCGGTTGGCACCCCTCACAGGGCAGGGGGCTGAGCTGGGACGAGTAGCAGGTTGGCCCTACTGGGGCTGTGAACAGGTGCAGGGACAAGCTCCCCCAGCAAGGGGGATGTTTCCTAGGTGGGTCTTTGGAGGGCCCAGGAAAAGTGTCTCAGACAATTCAGGCTGTGCCTAGTGTGCATGTGGTGGGGAGTGGGCACTTGGGCCCCTGCAGAGTGGGCGAGTCACACCCAGGATGGACACGCTTCCTGGAGGAAGTTGGTATGTTGGATCAGATATTCACGGTTATCAAGGGATGGGCAGGTGGCCAGGTGACCAGGTGTGCTGGGAGAGGGGTCAGGCCTGCTCTCCACTGGCCCCATGCTCAGAGCAGTTGGCAGTATCCAAAAAGAGGATGCCATGGCAACAAAATGGGCAATGTCCGGCGTGTGCATGTGTGCGGCGGGGCCAGGAAAGAGATGCTGTCTGCACCACATCAGATCCAAGCCGTGTGGTGGCAGGCCCCGCGGCAGCACACTCCTACATGGCCCTGAGGGGCCCTGGCTCCCTCCCCCAGGCACGTGTCCTGGAACCCACAGGGGCCTCACCTTGTACAGACTTGGGGAAGAAGCACCAGGGCACTTGTGGAATGGTGTTGGAGAAGCAGCAGCTGCGAGCAGCACACTCCTCGGAGCTGATGCCCGGGTAGCCACAGTCCTTGCGTGCCGAGACCTCCATGACGCACTGATCCGATTCTGGCCATGGGAAAGGGACAAGAAAGGGACCCCGTGGTCGCACCAGCAGGGTCTGGAATGCCTCTGCTTCCAGCCTCGCACTGGGAACATGCCGGAGTCCTAGCCTGGGGAGCTGCCCAGAGGGGTACCATGGCTTGGGATCAAGGCAGCGCAGGGCCGGCATGGGCCTGTCCCCTCAAAGGGAGCAACCAGCATGGGAGGGCGCGCTTCATCAGTGAGCTGTACCATGTGGACCCTGGGAGGATCATGCAGACGCACTGCATTCACGGGATAAGGTTCAGGAACATTCTAAGGCTGTGATGTGTTTGGCCAGGAGCTAACCCTCATGGACATTCTTGACGTCCAGGAAAAACGAGCAGCTGTGCCCCCACAACCCTCCCACGGCCACACAGTGAGAGCTAAACCTGGGCTTTCGTTTTCACAGAGGCAGATTCATGCCTTTCTGCAGAAGGGAAATGGGTGGGGGCACAGGGGCTATGTGCCCCCTCTTCTGGCTGGGCCAGGTGCACGCCAACAGCCCTGGGCCAGCTCTAGCTCAGGGGTCAGCCGCCTGCTCTTGTCCTTCCTGTCCCCATACCTTGCTTGGGGAGCGGCTCGTAACACCAGGGCACGTTCTTCACGCTGGAGTCGAAGCAGCAGCCGTTTTCGAAGCACTGGTCACTGGTGATGCCAGGGAAGCCGCAGTTCTTCCTGTTCTCGGGGTCCAGCCGGGAGCACCGGCAGGCGGCTGCAGGAGGACGGCAGTCAGCCCCACTGGGGGAGCAGGATTCCACGGATCCCCCATAGCTTGTGTTGCCACACGGGACACACCAAGGCTTATCCGGCCAGCTTCCTCTAAGGAACTGCCTGGCAGCAGGTAAAAGTATCTGACGGATGTAAAGAGGAGGGTGCTGGTGGAGGCCAGGGCAGTGGTGGGGCTGTGTGGCCTTCCCGCTCATGGCCTTGGCCCCTCTCCTCCACCTGATTCCAGCAGCTGGGAAAGGAGATGCCACAACACCCACCTGCAGCCCTAGCCTCAGGAGGCCTTTGTAGCTACCTGCCCCGCAACCACTCACCTGCGTGACAATTACCCCCCACGCACAAAGCAAGACTCACCTATGATGACATCTCCCTAAGTGTGATGCTCCATTCCCCCAGGACACCTGTGACCCCCCACTACCCTCGCAGGACACCTGTGACCTCCCCAGGACACCTGTGACCCCCCACTACCCTCGCAGGACACCTGTGACCTCCCCAGGACACCTGTGACCCCCCAGGACACCTGTGACACTCCCAGGACACCTGTGACCCCCCAGGACACCTGTGACACTCCCAGGACACCTGTGACCCCCCAGGACACCTGTGACCTCCCCAGGACACCTGTGACACTCCCAGGACACCCGTGACTCTCGCTGCCCCCAGATCCCCCTGTGACTGCCTTTTTCTTTCAGGTAAAAGAAAGCTGGCCCAGGGCTCAGGACCTCACTCCCCCATCATCCTTGGGGGGACACACAGGCTCCAGGCACCCCCACCCTTGGCCACTCATGACCAGTCACTCACAAGGTTTCTCGGTCAGTGCCAGGGCGCAGAACCCTGCCATGAGCAGCATCACAAGGAGCCAGGTGCCCCGAGTCGCCATGGCCCTGCTCAGCCGCACGGCAGACACCTGTAGAATGTGCGGCTCCCTCTGCCAGGGGAACTTTTATAAGCTCCTATGTTTACCCAGCGGGCACAGGTGCCCTCCGCCCATCCCTGCCCTCACTGCCACCCACGACGTTTTGTCAGGGGACACCGCTTGGGGGCCCCACATGGAGAAGAGGGGCCGGTGGGGCTCTCAGGCCAGGGGAGTGGGCACTGCGCAGCGTGGCTGCCACCTCCCCCAGTCGCCAGCAGGGGGCCGGGCCATGCCAGGCTGCTGACGTGGACGGCGGCTACGTGTGTGTCTGGCGCTGGGCATACACGGGTTCCCAACCAGGAAGGGATTAGCTGTGTGTTTATCCCGATGCTTTACCTGTCGGCCACAGGAATTCTGTTTCTAGATGTTAGCTCTCAGGCATTGGTGAGGGGTGGGGGACCAGGGTCAGCTGGAGAGGGGTAGGGGGCAACATAGAGAAGATGCCTGGCCAGGAGTCGCAGGTCTCATGGCTGGGCGGGAGAGCTGCTCCAGGGGCTCACGCAGCACCTCCATGCTGCAGTGCAGGTGCCCCATCCAGGCCTCCCACCACCCTGGGCTCCCCTCACCGCCCGTACAGGGACAGGCCCGGGAGCAGGCCAGGCCGACGAGGTGTGTGAGCAGCCTGGGGTGTTTGATCTTGGCGAAGGCTAGAGTTGGCTCCTTTTTTTGTTGTTGTTATTGTTGTTCCTGTCATGTGCCCAGGGTGAAGTGCCCATGGAGAAGGGACCTGGGGCCTGGGCAGGGAGGGCAGATGCCCCAGAGGAAAACAGAGAGGCTGAGGACTCGAGGGGTACCACCACAGAGGGCCTGCAGCCTCCTGGTGTCACTGAGCAGTCAAGCAGCTGGTGACCCAAAGCAGCAGGGCGCCCTCGGTGTTCTCAGCCAGCACCCCCTTGCTCTGTCCTCTAGGCTGCCTCGGCGCCTGGGACGCCTGCTCCCACCCCGGCCCCATGGCCATGCTTGGAACTGGAGCTCTGTCTCTGTCTCTCTGAGACATGGATTCCCTTTCCTCAGGGCCTGAGTGTCCGGCCACTCCCTCGGCTCCCACCTGAGGCTGGACTTCTCTGCTCCCCTGTGAGCAGGCCTGCCCCTTCTTCCTCCCTTCTTCTCCTGTCCCTTTGTCCAGCCTGATTTCACAGTGTCTGCTCCACCCACCACCCTCATGGCCACTTATTTCCGTCCATCACCTCCTTCCTCCCTGTGCCCGGCGTGGCTGATGCTGGCCACCCATTCTGCTGTAGCGAGGGCAGAGACCCACCACGCCCTCCATGAAGGTGCGACCCTCCTTCCCCATCCTTGTCTGCCTTCTTGCTGACAGCTCCCTCCGCTGGCACCTGCACACCTTCTGCCTCTGATTGTGGAGTCACTGCATTGATATGGGTTAGGTAGGTGGGAGCCATACAACCCGAGTCTGTATAATCCTATCTGCCCACCTGTCAATGCGAGGACCCTTTCCCCAGGAAGTACTGCCCCGCATCTGGGACCTGGGATGAGTAGCCCATAACCACTCCCCTTTCCAAGCTCACAAGGGCCTTGGCAGCGGGAGGGAAAAGGCTGGAAGAAGCCCAACCTAGCCCGCGAGTGTCATGAGAGATAAGCACCCCGTGGAAGGACAGCGTACAGATGTGGCATGGCTGGCAGGGTAGATGGCGGTCGCTAAGAAGGGCCCACGCCTGCCATGGTTTTCCACTTCGGGACACAGAGAGGGGGACTGGAAGCAGCCAAGCCAGGGGAGGAAAAGTGATGGGGATGGGAGTCCCTTAAGTGTTCAAACGCAAGGTTTCCCACCTTCCCCTCTCCCATTCCAGGCCAGGCCAACCAGCCCTGGGGAAGGAACAGCCGCCTGCATCAGACAGAAAACCAGGCATGGAGCCGTCTGAGCCCTGAGAATCGGAATAAGAGGGGATTTGCTGGTCACCTTGGCATGGGAGAGAGCCCTGCCAGGACCCCTGCGCCAGCACTTCCAAGCAGGTCTGCAAGGAGTCTCCAGGTGAGCCTGTGAGTGCCCTCATGGCCTCTGCGCACCTGCCAAGGGGGCCCTACACGCCGACCGAGACTTGCACAGTGGGCTGGAGTCCAAGGATGCAAGAGTCCTCCGGGGCTCCTCCTCAGCTTGTGTCCTTCCAGGATCGTCCCTATGTGTCTCTTCTTTGGAGGCCCTAGGGCAGCTTGGCTTACAGCCCACCCTCACAGACCCATTTGGAGATCCTGTCTCCTCCAGACACAGGCCCACACTGAGGGCCAGAGGTCAGGATTTCAACATAAGAATTTGGAGGGTTGGGGCTTAACCAGCAATGCCATGGACAGAACAAAGCTCAGACATTTGCTGAGGAAGACAAGGAGCACAGCACAGCATGTGTCACCCCAAGGTAAACTCACAGGCTTCCGTCGTCTAAGGCAGGCAGGCATGTCCGGGAACCCCTGGCAGCATCAGAGAAAGGAATCGGCTAGCAGAACAAAAACGTTCACAAAGGCTTAACAACAACAAAGACGTCGTAAAGGAGCTACAAGAAATCACAACAGATAAATGGGATCTGAAAGCGAATCAAGCGAAAGGCCTGGAAATGAGAGACACAGTACTGAACTAAACCAATACAATTAGGAGCCAGGTGGGGTTCTAACATTCTGGCTCCAGCCTGGCTTTAGTCTCAGCCATTGTAGCCACTTCGGGAGAGAATCAGTGGCTGAAATGTGTCTCTCTGTGTAGTTATTCTTTCTCTGTAACCCTGTCTTTTGGATAAATAAAAAGTTGAAAAAACTGAAGACAAATCAATGGGCTGGTATAGTGGATAAAGCTGCCACTTAGAGTATTGGCATTCTGTATGGGCACTGCTTCAAGTACCAGCTGCTTCATTTCCAATCTCATTTCCTGCTGCAGACATGCCTGGGAAAAGCAGCAGCAGACACCCCAAGCACTCGGGCCTGTCACCCACATGGGAGAGCTGCCAAAAGCTCCAGGCTCCTGGGGTCAGCCTGGCCCAGCCCTGGCCACTGTGGCCGTCTTGGGGGGTGAATCAGCAGGTGGAAGATCCCCTTTTTTCTCCTCTGTCAGTAACTCTGTCAAATAATTAAATAAATTTATAACAGGATTGTGAGGAGGCAGCAGCCCAGTACACACACACTCTGCATTAGTGGGAAAGGCATTTGAAGAAACACTTGGGCAACACTGGTTGAAGAAACAATTAGATTTGTGGGATGGACTTGATGAAAAATTTAAACCCACAAAGCCTGGAAGCTCCAAGAACATGAAGGAAGACGAATGCCAGGGAAAATGCACCGAGGCACAGTATGATCAGATGGTTGAAAAACAGAACTCGGGAAAACGGATCTTCAAGCAGCCAGAGAAACAGGGAGACGACGCGGGCCGGAGCGTGCAGTCAGAATCGGGCACTCAGGGAAAGCGTCCTTCGTGATCGAGCCAAAGGACTCCAGGGGGACAGAACTCAGCGAGGACGCATCCCGACAGGCTCTCCAAGCAGCTGGAAGGACTTTCTCCAGGCTTGAGTTCCAGTCTTCTGTTTTTTCTAAAGATTTATTCACTTTTAAAACAATTTATTTGTTTTTATTGGAAAGTCAGATATACACATAGGAGGAGGGACAGAGAGGAAGATCTTCTATCTGCTGGTTCACTCTGTAAGTGACCACAATAGACGGAGCCAAATCAATCCAAAGCCAGGAGCCAGGAGCTTCTTCTGGGTTTCACGTGGGTGCAGGGTCCCAAGGCTTTGGGCCATCCTCCACTGCTTTCCCAGGCCACAAGCAGGGAGCTGGATGGAAAGTGGAGCAGCCAGGACTGGAACCGGCACTCATATGGGACCCCAGAGTGTGCAAGGCAAGAATTTAGCTACTGAGCCAATGTGTTGGGCACAGACACCAACGCCCTCTTAACCCTTGGTGTGAATGCTCCAAGGCCTCCCAGCCCCCGGGTCCCTGGCTGAATTGGCTCAGCCACAGCACCTGCTTGGCCTGTGTCGACAATCACACCAATGACCCAGCAAGGTCTCCCACTTGGTTGCCACACCTGATCTCTCAAATGTGAATGGTTTTGGCTCCAGCCAGGCAAAACCCTAAGTATCTATGAAAGGAAAATCCATGCCATTCCCCAGCTCACCAGCGCTCGCAGGAGGAAGACCAAACTCGTGAGTAGACCCAGCAGGATCCGTTGGGATCTGGACTCCGTGTGCCCCCCACCTCCTGCTGTGGAATGTCAGCATCTTGCACTTTTTTCACTGTCCAGGGCCAAGCCTTTTTTGTGCACCTGCTGATGAACCCTTGCCCCACCCCCTGCCTGCAGCGTCTGACTCCGGAGTTCATCCTCCCGGGAAGGCATCCTCTGCTTCCCTCAGACTGGCATTCCCTCCCTCCCAGGCACTCATAGCCCACCTGAACTGCTACCACAGCAAAGCTATAGTGAATTGGGGGGGGGGGAGGTTCCCTTTACCAATCACATTTTAAAAAAACCAAAAACTCCAATGGGACCAAGCTCCAAACTAAAGACGTGGGAAAGTGATGGAAGTCAGCCCAGCCACTCTGCCTGCTTCTCACTCACCTTGCAGCCTCCTCCTTCTGCCTCATCACTGGCCCAGCCAGCAGGGCCTCCCAGACACACACCATGAACGTTCCAAGCCAGGAGCTGGAGCAGTGTCTCCTGTCCTGCCCCAGGCACCACCCTGAAGCCATGAGAGCCTTATGATCAACATAGGAGTGAATAAGAGAAATCTTGAAGGCTTAGGGATAAACTTACTGCATAGCAAAGAACTTGACCAGAGCTGTGGGAATTCAGGGGGATGAAGTGTGAGCTGACTTCATGGGTCATCCTTGGAGGCAGGCAGCATTTGGGTGCCCTGCCAGGAGATACATAGCACCCATCATTCTCCTCTGTGTCTCCCGGACAGACTCGGACGAGATGGAAGTTGTCTCTCGTTGTTTGCTTATCGGATGCTCTACAGAGTCCAGGCTGGGCCAGCCAACTCGCAGAGCTTAAAACAACGCGGAGGACAGCACAAGTCACAGCACAGGTGAGACAGTTGGCAAGTGCCTGCTTTGGAACGAAGCTTTATGAGATGCAGCAGCATCCGTCCACTGGCACCCTGTCTGTCACGGCAGAGCCTCCAGCCCGCAAAATCTAGAATGGGTGCTTGTCTACCCCTCCACAAAACTTGCCAAGTCTTGGAAGTTTTTGGCCTGGCTAAAAATGAACTGCTGACAAAGTAAAGCTGGAGAGGAGAATGTATGTGTCTATGGATGAATGAAATGTCATATAAAGAAGGTTTTTTTTTTTATTTTTTAGATTTTATTTTTTTACTTTTATTATTTCAAAGGCAGATTTACAGGGAAAAGAAAAGACAGATCTTCCATCCACTGGTTCACTCCCCAAATGGCCACATGGCCACAGCTGAGCCAGTCAGAAGCCAGGAGCCAGGAGCTCCTTCCAGGTCTCCCACATGGGTGCAGGGTCCCAAGGCTTTGGGCCGTCCTTGACTGCTTTCCCGGGCCACAGGCAGGGAGCTGGATGGGAAGTGGAGTACCTGGGATGTGAAACAGTGCCCATATGGGATTCCAGCACTGGCAGCTTCCCATGAATGCCCCTCCACCTGCATACCCGTGAATGAAGAAGCCCACATCAGACTTGCCCCGAGCCCAGCATGTGAAGTTAGGGTGCAACAGGGGGCACTGCCATGGTAGGTGGACAAACAGCAGGCCCAGCACGGCCTGACCACCGGCTCCCCTCACCTGCGCCCCTCCAGGGGGCCAGGTTCCCCCACCAGGCAGCAGGCAGAGTGCTTGCCTGTTCACCTGCAAGTGCTCTCTGCCAGCCCACAGCCTTGTTTACCCAGTGGGTCGCTTCCTCCTTGCAGGAACCGTGACCCCCACACCCGCCTGCTCCCCCACAGCCTTGACGTGGGTCCCCACGTCCTCCTATCCCGAGCTCAGAGTAAACACGGCTCACACACGCGGCCATTGTTCTGCTCCTCCGGCCACTGCCAGGTTGGGGGTTGGTGCGGGCGTGCTTCCTCACCCGTGGGATGTGTGGGAGGCAGCCACAACAGCCCTTTCTTCCACCCTCTTCTGGAGGATGTTTGTACAGCAGACGCCCTGGAAAACAGGCCAGGCGCTTCCCTCCGGAGCGAAGAGGATGCCTTTCCTTTGTAAGGTCAGGTGCATCTCAATAGCAGTCTCCGTGTGCACGCACACGTGTTTGGGCACCCAGCTGGACACAGCCTTGTCGCCCTGGAGGGGAGCTATGGCGCCCTGCTGTCCCAACTGCTGGCCAGACCGTAAGTAACACAGTCCTTAGCCTCTGGCCCAGGGACCCCCTCCCTTCTGACAGCTTCCATGACTCTGTGCTGGGTGGGCTTGCACGAGCGGTAAAATGTCTAGTTCTTGACCTTGATAGATTAGATCAGCTTGGCGTCCCCGCTCAGTTCCTGCTATGACATTCTCTGAACAGAACCCTGTTGTTTTGTGGAGGCGCTCGTGACCCCTCGGGCACACCCAGCTGCAGTGCAGAAGGGTCATGAGATCTCGGCCAGACGGTGCTCGGTCCACTCTGGCACACAGTGGACAGTGAGGGGCAACTGCACTGGGCAGCTCCTTGCTGGGCACAGGGACCTCACACAGAACTCTTTCCAGCTGCTGGCCCTGGTGGAGGTGTGCGCTGAGGACCCAGGGAGGCCAGACCTCAGGACTGCTTGCTCTGTTGCTCCTTCTGGGCACTGGGGAACTGGGGCTGCTGCCCCCAGGGTTGTCAGGGCTGGGGTTGAGGGCCTCCAACTCTTCACTGTGTATCCCCAGAGTTAAGTCTGTGAGACCCCAGCTGGGCCACCATCGGGCCATGTAGGGGTGAGAGAGCTGTCAGCCCACAGGTGCACGGTCCTCCACTTAGCACGTGTCTGCAGGCTGCCCACCCGCGGTGGTTCGCAGGGAGCATTCCTGCCCCTCACCAGCCCGCTGCCTGTCCCCTTCTGTACCTGACACTTGTTACTTTCAGGAGATGCACATCCAGCAAAGCAAGCTGGTCCCTGAAAACAGCCACCTTGACGGTGCAGGCTCGTGGGCTACAGGTCCTGGGCACCTGCCGTCTGCAGCTGAGCTGTGCCAGCAGCTTGGGTCGATGTCAGGGGCCCAGCACGAGCCCTCGGGATGAGCCCGTGTTAGGAGAGAGTCTCTGCTGAGATCCCTGGGCTGTGGGTCCAGTGTGGCTGGCATCCACAGAAGAGGATTACAGACGGTGCACATCTGCTGGCCGAGGGCAGGGGTACCCAGTGCCCAGCAGAGGTCTGCCCTGCCCCCTCCTTGCCCTGGGGCTCCAGCCCAGTGCCGGGAGAGAAACCTGAATGATCAGTGACCACAAAGATGGGAGGAGATGACCTCTGAACCCAGGCTGTCCTGGAACTCCACCACAGCAAGCTTTCCCAACCCCAACCTGCCCACTTCACCCCAAGTGAAACCCTCGCCTGAGAGATTGCCTGAGCTCCTGTCTGCAGAGGGCGAGCGCTGGAGGGCAGTTCAAGGACACGGAGGTTCTAGAATGCTCCTCGGGCGGTGGTTAAGGGCAGTCTGTGGCTGAGCAGCCGGGCATCTTGGTCACACTGAGAGTGTACTGGTCAGCACTCCACCAAGGTGTCCGCAAGAGGAAGGACAGATAAACAACAGAGCAAGACAACCACACAGGTGGCAGCGTGGCCCTCGCTTCCCACACAGCACCAGCAGCCAGCCGGTCCTCTGGCGTAGACCACAGCCTCCTCCCCCAAGCAGCACCAGCACCCGGATTGGATGGAGGGGTGCTGAAGGGCGCTGAGGCTCTCAGGCAAGTGTGCCAGTCGCCTCACTGGACCCCACCAACCCCAGGACACTGACCTCCCCCACTCCTAACCCAGTCACCCCTACCCTAACCCCACCTCACCCCCACCCAACACCCCATCACCACTCACACCCACTAGGCTGCAAGGTCCAGAGGTCCCTAATCCCAGATCACAGCTTCATGACCAGGCCTCCTGGAGCGGGGGGGCTCCTCCAGCAGATGCCACGAGGAGAGGGGAGTGAAGGGAAGCTCCCCCTGGGCTTTGGGGGTGGGAGTCAGCAAAGCCCTCTGCAGGGCATTTTCGCATGGCACGTGCCTGCGCCGCTTGCTGAAGACCACCTGCCTGCAGCAGGCCTGCACTGTCATAGCTGGGACCTCACAACTCCCAGCGTCTCCTTGTGTCTGGGGAGACTGTCGGCCACTCCTTATCTTGGGGCCCAAGAGTCTGGGCAACAGGCACCTGCCTTCCCCTCGGGGTCTGGCCAAGTGCCAGACGGGGCACCCTTTCCTGGTCCTCACAGGTGCACCTGAACTCCTCACGTCCAGCAGGACTGCGCATGCTGGAGGCGCCTCTGGCCCAGGACGGAGTGGGCAGCTTTGATGCGAGCCTCATCCTCCCGCCTCACCCATGGTGGTGGCAGGTGACTGCTTCCCCCAGGTGTGTGTGGGCGCACCTTGAGGTGTTGCTGTCCAGGGTCCCTGTCACCACCCAGCCGGCTCAGAACAGCAGGTCCCAAACTCCCAGACTCTCTGCCCTGCCCTTCCAGCACAGATCAGCCCGCGCCTTTCCCAGCCCCAACACAGCTCTCCTTCTGGGTTCTGAAATCAAAACCCCAACTCATCCCTGCTTTTAAAAAAAGACAAGGGCCGTGGAGCCACATTCATCTTCTTTTAATCTTCGAGACCAATGGAGGGACTAGAAGCCGGAGGGGCAGACTGTGAGGGGTCTTGGGGTCTGTCCGTGCAGGGCTCAGCACCGGTGTCAGGCAGAGGAGGACCGGCACCGTCAGTCGGTGGGGTGGGTGAGATATACAGGCAGGTCCCAGCGGGGGCGTCCGAGCAGGTGGGCCGCTAGAAGGGGCACTCCTCTGCAGTGGGAGAGGAGACCGGGGCAGTGAGAGTCCAGGTTTTCTTTCTCTTGTGAATTCTCACCCCGCTAGCCCCACCGCCCTGTGCCTTGAGCGAGCTGGGATGCACTAGCTCACAGGCAAGAGGGACCCAGGAAACAGGCCACCCAGCGCTGTCCCAGAGGTTCCCCGAAGCCAAGCTCAGCCTGGAAGCCACACAGCTGGCCCACGGGCAGCCACCCTGTCCCCACGCAGGGCCACACGTCCCTACCTTCAACGGGATTGTCGACAGCCACGGGGTAGAAGCACCAGGGGAAGCCAGTGATGTCGCTGTTAAAACAGCAGCCCTTGCTCTTGCACTCAGACTCCGTGACGCCGGGGAAGCCACAGTTGACCCGTTCCTGAGGGGTCATGGTGCACGTCTCTGCAGCCAGAAACAAAGGCCCGGGGTGCGGGGCTGACGGCCAGACGACGCCAGGGCATCCCCAGCCCCAAGGCAAGCTCGTGCACCCCAGGTCATCCATCAGGGTCTGAACTTGGGGTGTGCAGGTGGAGGAAGCAGACCCCTTGGGAATCCAGAGGCTGGCTGGCAATGCCAGGTAATAGAAGGATCTAGAACACTTTCCTTCGTGGCTCTGTGTCTCAGAAGCAGAGAGAGGGAAGAAGAAGATGACCCACTCCACCTCCACTAAGCCCATCCCCCTTGGGCCTGGGTTCCTGCTGTGGGCTCTGGGGGCTCCCACACCATCCTGGTGCCCTCCTGCCCCCTTGCTGCGCAGCTGCCCCAGCCATGACCATCCTGAGCGGTCACCGACTGGAAGCCACCGCCTCACTCTGTTCCCCCACACCTCTGCAGCAACCCTCCAAGGGGGGATGTCAACCAGGACTTCCTTCCGGCCCCCACCCCCTTGTGATCCCACCAGCAAACAGCTCAGCACGTGGCAGCCAGCTGCACTCTCTCGACACCCTGGGGAGCTGCTCCAGTCTGCAGCAGCAAGACTAGGTCAAGGTCACAGGAAAGCTGAGGCCACCCGCGACAGAGATTGGCGGACACAGGAAGCAGAGGTGGTCCTGGCTCCCACCAGTGGCACATGGAGGCTCGCTGTGTGGCTCTGGCCACCCTGGGGTGAACTTATCTTCACTTCTGAAAGAACCGTTCAAACTACGGTATGCTAAAGGTGGTGGGAAGCCAGGACCAGCCCGGGGAGCTGCTTGAGGTCTCCATGGGCCCTGCAGCTCGCTCTGCTGCAGCTGCCTGGCTCATCTCGTACAGGCCAAGGGCAGGGAAGGCGGCTGGAAGCCAAGGCCCCTGTGGCGGGCCATGGCCTGGGGGAAGCCAGAGCGGCAGCCTTACCTTGCTGCTCCTGGGCCAGGCAGCCGAGGGCCAGCATGAGGGCCACGAGCAAGACGCAGGCCGCCTTGGGGTGCATGGCGTGCTTCTGCTTGCTCTCCAGCCAGGGATGGGGGCCCGACCCAGACTTGGGTTTTATGCTTTTATGCGGCACCCACTGTTTGCTGAAGGTGTGAGATAACATTTGCCTAAGGGAGACCCAGCCCTGCCCTGATTGTGCGGGGAGGCACAGCTAGGTGACAAGTCACTGTGGCTGGGTGACAAGTCTGATAGAGAAAGTGCAGTGTAGTCATCCTGATGGAGGGAGATCACGGGGGAGCGGGGAGTCTCCTCCAAGGTGACCTTGACTCACAGCCTGCCCTTGTTGTCCAGGCCCTCCCGTGGGAGGGGACGTTACACCTGCTTCTAAGAGTGGACAACCTAGAGACAACCTGGCAAGCCACCCTGTGTTCTCGGGACAGCCCTGCCCTGGTGGTCCAAGGCAAACCCAGATGTGGGCACAGTGCCCTCAGATCCTTCCCAGATGGTGTGTAGAGCTGCTCGTGGCTGGATGGGGGTCCCGTTCAGCCTGCTGCAGACAATGCCCAGGAATTCTCTCTCACCCATGTGAATCCAACACCTGCCTTCACCATCACTTAGTCGCTCTGGGGATGCAGGCATGGATGAAGTGATGTGGAGACCTGGGGCGCCATAGCGGCTGGTCTGGACTTGTGCTGCCCCCCACTCCCGTACGGGAGGATGCCCTGGGTGCCCAGTACCTCTGCTCCAGGTCTTCCTTCTGTTCACTCCCACCTGGGCTTCCTTCCACCCAGTCCTGCCATGGGGGAGGGGGCAGGGGTCCGATACACCCTTCCACTTCCCAGCCTCTAGAGTTGCACGTTGCACAGGCATCCCAACAGAGAGAGCTGCATGGCCCACAGGACACACGTCACCTCTTCTGCCAGAGGTCAGTGATAGTCCCACCGGCCAGAAGAGACACCTGCTGCCCCCATTGACCTTGAAGTCAGTGTGGGAAGCTGCTCTGGGAGATGTGGGGCCACGGGACTGGCCTTCCTGGACTGGCCGTCCTGACCTGCCATGTGTGGGGCCCTGGGACAGCACCTGTGACCGCAGCGGTTCCATGACTCTCATGCTGCAGGTCAAACCTGGCACCCAGGGAAGCAGGTGGCAGAGAGGGGAAAGGAAGGCGAGTGGTGCTAGGCGGGGCTCGAACCCTGCAGGCTTTACAACCAGCCCTGTCCCCACTACTGGCTGCAGCAGCCAAGGGTGCTTGCCCTGAACAGGCTAAAGTGGACACGGGGAGGAGGGAGAGCAGCAGGGCGTGGTTACGAGTCCACTGGCCAGCAACGGGCTGAATCATGGCATAACAGGTTAACCCACCGCCTGTGGTGCCTGTATGCCGTTTGGGTGCAGTTTGAGCCCTGGCTCCTCCACTTCCAATCCAACTCCCTATTGATGGGCCTGAGAAAGCAGCAGAGGATGGCTAAAGTGCTTGGGACGCCACACTCACACGCAGACCCAGAAAAAGCTCCCGGCTTTAGCCTGGTCCAGTCCTAGCCGTGTGGCCATCGGGGAGTGAACCAGCAGATGGAAGATTCTCTTTCTCTCCCTCTGGCCCCCTGCCTTGCAAATAAACATATGTGTCACTTTCACACACGTGCGTCCTGTGCGGGAACGCATCAGAGAACTTCCAGAAACTGAACACAGTGAGAGATCAGCAACAAAGTGAACCCGCAGGTGACAGCACCCGAGTGTGTGGGGCAGGTGTCCCAGACGGTCAGGCAGGGCTGGGTCTGCCCACGGAGCAGTCCTGTGACCTCGCCGGCCGGAAGGAGCCGCGCACGGGGCCAGGGCATGAGGGGAGGAGGGCGGACTCCACCCTGTTGCCAGAAGAGCAGTGCTGGTCACCCAGTGTCACTGAGCTGCTCTCCAAGGGAGTTCAGAGGGGACTCCTGGCTCTGTCCCCTGGTGGGAGACTCTGGGCTCTGAGGAACATCACCTCTCTCTGTAGGGGGTATGGGGGTGGTGGGAGAGGGGGTGGCAGTGCAGTAGTGTAGTAGGTTAAGCTACTGTATCCAGTGCCACCACCCCCATCTGAGCACCAGATAGAGTCCTGGCTGCTCCACTTCCCTCCAGCTCCCTGCCTGTGGCCTGGGAAGCAGTGGAGGACGGCCCAGGGGCTTGGAACCCGGCACCTACACGGGAGGCCTGGATGGAGTTCCTAGCTTTGGCCTGACCCACACTGAGCTATTGTAAGCATTGAATAGATCTCTCTCTCTCTCTCTCTCTCTAACTCTGCTTTTCAAATAAATTAATTAATTAAAAAAAAAAAAAAGCAATGACAGTCGGCCCATTGTGATAGCCTAGCAGCTAAATCTTCATCTTACATGCACTCGGATCCCATATGGGCACTGGTTTGTATCCCAGCTGCTGCACTTCGCATCCTGCTCCCTGCCTGTGGCCTGGGAAAGCAGTCGAGCCTGGCCTAGAGCCTTGGGACCCTGCACCCGTGTGGGAGACCCGGAAGAAGTTCCTGACTCCTGTTCAGATCGGCTCAGCTCTGGCTTTTGAGGCCACTTGGGGAGTGAACCAGCAGATGGAAGACTTTCTCTCTGTATCTTTTCTGTCTGTAAACCTGCCTTTCCAATAAAAATAAATAAATAATAATTTAAAAAAAAAAACAATGAAAGCATTGGGTGGGTGTTTGGCTTAGAGCTTAAGGTTCCAGTGAGGCTCTCCATCCCGTGTCGGACACAGCCGCCACGTTGGGTTCCTGGCTCCACTCCGATTCCAGCAGCCTGTGGGTGCAGACCTGGGCCGCAGAGGCCATGCTCAGGTTCTCAGACCCCTGCCTGCCTGCTCCTGGCTCTGGGCTGCAGCTGCTGTGGGTATCTGGGCATGAATCAGTGGGTGTGATGACGCAGGCAGGCAGAGCTGAGTGCCCGTGCCCTGCGCAGCTGGGTAGTGGCATCCTGTGTTTGCCCAGTGCTGGGCTTTCGTCTCCTCACCTGAAAAGCAGGGTGACCCCGAGCCTTCTGCAAGGCCGCCATGGACACGGATGGCCCATGGGTAAGCTGCTCACACTCGCTCCCATCTCCTGCCCCAGAGGTGTCCTCCCCACTGACTGCATGCAGGGCTCAGCTGCTCTCACTCCCTCTGCCCCACCCAACTCATGCCAGGGAAGTGGGGGTAGGTGCTAGCGGTTTCTCTTCCCTCCAGGATTCCCCCAAGCAGAGGCCACAGTGAGGTTGACAGGCACCTCTTCATGGTGTCCCCCAGCCACTGCTGGTTCCTCCTTGCCCCGCAGAGTCAAGGGCCCCAGCCACAAGGAGCTCTAGTACACCCTAACCACGCTTCTGACATGGCCCTGGCTAGAGGGTCTAACCTGATTGCTGCCAGGCTGCTTGGGGGCTGCACGTCAGGCGGTGTGAGAGGGACAAGGACTCAGGGACCACGGCCACCAGATGCCGGCCCGGTGACTGGCTTCCCCACACCTTCCCTGAAGGCAAACACGAGTCCAGGGCTAGGCCATTGCCACAATCTCTTAGATTGGAGGCACCAGGTCAAGGGCAGCCACCGACCCCACCCACTGGGCCCTCTCTTCCCCCACTCCCGGCCCCCACAGCTGCTTGTCCCACCCCAGCCGCGCCCAGGAAGCTGAGGACCACACTGCCACGCCCCCTCCTCCCCACACCTGCCTCCCCAACCTGTACTGGCTCACTTCCTGTACACCTTGAATTCCGACGGACTGAGCCACGGTTCACAATCCCCACCAACGTGAGGTCCTCCTAACTGTGGCCTCCCAGGGACCTGAACTGGGGGTTACGGACACCCACATCCCCACTTCCAGGTCCCCCTGCCAGCTTCCCTGGTGTGCCAAGCTGAGGGCTGTTACGGCACCTGGACCCAGGCCAGAAGCCGGGAGCCAAGCCCTAATCCTCTGGCAGGAGAACGTGGGAGCACTTGGGCCAACCTCTGCTGCATCCCCAGGCCATCTGCAGGGAGCTGGCTCAGAAGTGGGTCCGCTGGGTCACGAACCAGCACCCACATGGGATGCCAGCACTGCAGGCAGACCCGGGACCTCCACCACTGCACAGTAGAGCATTAGCCTGTTGAGCCACCACAGACCCTGTAAGTAAATAAATCCAAAAACTATCAACTTGAAGAATACCCGAGAAATAGGCAGATGATGATGCTTATAGATTAGAATCTCAAAATCTCAAATAGCACAGGTGTCAATTTTCCCAAATCAATATTTCTATCAATATCCCAGCAAAACATTTTTTGAAATACAAAAATGCCTATTTTAAAACTTTTTAAAAAGATTACATATTTGAAAGTCGGAGTTACAGAAAGAGGGATGGAAATTGAGAGGGCAATCTTCCATCTCACTTTCCCAACGGCCGCAATAGCTGGAGCTGAGCAGGTTGAAACCAGGAGCCAGGAGCCTCATCAGGGTTGTCCACGACCCAAGCACTTGGACCATTCCCTGCTGCTTTCCCATGATCATTAGCAGGGAGCTGGGTGGGAAGTGGAGCAGTCAGGACTCAAACTAGCTTAACTCTACAGCACAACGCTGCTCTGCCTGTTCTAAAATTTATGTGAAAAACATAGGGCCCAGACTAGCTGAAACTATCTTGAAAAAGAAGAATCTGATGGAAGATGTTACTGCGAGGTCAAGTTCACCACAAGCAAGACTGTGTGGCCGTGGCAGAGGGACACACACCCGCAGAGGACCCACAAATAGGCCCTGCTGATGGGCGGGAAGGCCTGGGAGCAAACTGACAGCAGAGACACATCCCGCCCGCAGCAGGGCGGGGACTGGTGGGCATCAGCAGAGGGAAAAATGAGCCTGACCTGAACCCACACCCCGTGTCCAACCCAGAGGCATCGCACAGCAATGAGGCAGAGTTCACCAGTGTGGCCCAAGCGGAGACTGGGCAGTTGGATTCCATCAAGACGAAAACCTCAAGGCCCAGCGCTGCAGTGAGAAGGGGAAGCATCCACCTCGACACCTGCACCCTGTGGCCACCACGGTCCCTCAGGTCAGCAAAGCAGGGGCTGGGATCCAATCCCGGCACTCCGACACGATACGACACAAGTGCATCAGCTAGGTGGCTTATTATTATTTATTTATTTGGAAGTCAGAATGAGAGAGAGAATCTTCCATCCACTGGCTCACTCTCCACATGGGCACAGCAGCTGAAGCCAGGAGCTTTTTCTGGATCCCCCACGTGGGTGCAGGGTCCCAAGGCCTTGGCCCACCCTCCACTGCTTTCCTAGGCTATAAACAGGGATCTGGATCAGTACTGGTGCAGCCGGGACTCTAGCCAGTGCCCACACAGGATGGTGACACCTACACACTGCCACAGCACTGGCCCCAACTGTGACAGCTTTTCTATAAACTAAACTTCAGTGTCACTGAGGGGTGTCTGGCTTTATTTATTCATCTCTTTACTTGAATATTTACATGAGGCAGGGACAAAGAGCTCCTTATCATCTGGTTCACTTCCCAGCTGCGTGTGATGGCTGGGGCCAGGCCAGACGAAGCCAGAGCTGGGAACCGATCAGAGAAGCGAGGCCCTTGCCCTGAGCCACCACCCGGGTGTGCATCACCAAGAGACGACGCCGGCTGCAGAGGAGGAATGCTGGTGTCTTAACTGCCAGGCCCAACATAGCCCCAAGGCCCTGGTGCTTTGTCCAGGTCTGGAACCCTCTAAGGCAGAATGTATCAGAATACAGAAGACGTGTCCCCATGCTGGGCCTTGCTCTGTACCTTTAAATGGAGACTCGCAGTGGCCAGTGATAGCTGTAACCTTCGGGAATGTTCGCCTGCTTTAAGCCAAACATGTGCTGGTTTATGACACTCCAGCCTCATGCAGCTCCTGGGAGGTGACCTGTTCACTTCATGATGGCCGATCACCCAGCCCACCTGTGTCAGCAGATGTGACTGGGTCCCCAACTAGCACAGGGGACCAGGCCTGGAAGCATGATTATGGATGGACACTGGCCCTGCCACGTGAGTGTTAGTGTGTGAACCTGGACACGTGTGCACAGGTGTGTGCCATGGGAGCCCTCAAGCGGCTTCTCTCACACACCTGCAAATGGCAGAGAAGGCTCCGGCCACTGAGGCCAATGGGCTGGGAGGGAAGCAGCACCTGTCAGGAAGCCACTCTGAGCAGGTGGACAGGACAGGCCCGCTTGGCGCACACGCCCCTTTAGGTACGAAGGGCTTATGTCCCAGGCAGCCAGGACATTGGCAAGCTGGGGAGGCTCCCCTTCTCACAGCTCAGGCAAGACGTGACCCAGGAAGTAATCCCAAATGAATGAGTCTGTGGCCGGTGCTAACGTGTGAGATGGACATTTCACCCCTCCGCTCCTTACTGCATCTCCACCCACCGGCTCCGTCCCTTTGCTTCTGTGTAGCTGAAGGCAGTCAGGGAACCTGCACCTGCCGCCTGGGCGGGGCTTAGTTCTGGGGCCCACACCGTTGCTACGCAGGGACTTCTCACCTCTTTGCAGGTCAGTGTTACTGCAGGAGCCTGGACTCAGCCCCACGTGTGTGTACCTGACTGTGTCTGCTACAGACACCAGCCACTGGCGTCCCAGTATGCCCTGGGAATGTTCCCATGAGAACAGGGAAAAACGGCTGCCATTTCCACGAGCAGCATCAGCAGCTAAGCTGTCAACCAACATCCAACCCTCTTTCCCCAGACCTTGCCTTCATGTCGCTGGATCTTCAGTAAGATCCTGCTTGCCAAGTGCCTGAGCGGGGAGTTGGGTCAGGGAAATGGAGCATCCGGGACTCCCTTCACAAGCACCTGGAACCCCCCACTCTGTGAGACACTCTGCTCTCTCTTTTTAAACCCAGCAAATTGGTCCACTGCTGCCACTGACCAAGCGTCCTGCACCTGTTCTGAGGAGTGGGACCACAGCAGCCACAGGGATAACAATGATTATTGCCGAGCAACTGTCTCCCGAGAGGTATATGTCTTAGACCCCAGGAGGTGTGGCTATCAGGAGGGCTCCCGACCCCACAGCTTCCTGCGTGTGGTTCAGTGGACCCTGGTGGAGGGGTAGGCAACCGGGGTGGCCTCATGGTTGTTGCCAGCCGCCTCTGTACGTACTGGCCACATGCCGTACCCAAAATGGCGCCGGCCAGAGAAGCCACATCTTGGTGTTTGGTGGAGAGTCACGTAGCTTTCGCAGTACTGCGCAGGCGCCTAGCGCATGCGCAGTGAGCTGCGGCGCGGCAGGCACGTAAACACTGGGACTGACGAATCCAGTCGCCCAGAACCCTGCGTAATCATGACGCCGACCTATCATCGGTGGAGGCGGGGCCAGACAGCACATAAGAGTAGAAAGCCTGCCGGGGTCCGCGCCTCTTTCCTCCTCATGTTGCTGTGCACAATAAATTTTACAGCAGAAGGCTTCACTCGCGTCTGCGTCTTATTGCTGGGCAGTAAGACACGTGGGCGCGACACATGGTGACCCATGGCTCTCTGCAAACTCTGCTGGCTTTGCTGTTCCCTGGGCAGGGCTGGGTAGTCCTGTGTCGCATTTCTCTCACACTGCGCTGGAGTTGCGTGGCAGCCTGGGAAGTGATCGCTGGTCCTGCCGAGCTCTGAGCTGACAAAGGTGAATCTGCCTGGCTCCGAGGAAGGCCAGCACCCGTCGCTTCGTGCCCCTGGGCCGTGGGTGCTGCTTCATGTGACACAGCGCATGCAGGTCGGGACAAAAGACTGACAAGAGCCGAGAACAGACCAAGACCCGACGGTGCCAGCAAGCAGTGCGACTCGGCCTTCAGGAGAGGGATTCGCGTCCCCCACGGGCGCAGGGACCTGATAGGAGTCAACATTGCTGTCTGCAGGCGTGAAACTTCACAGACAGGACCTCGAGCAGCCCCAGGTGGCCTGCATGGTCAACAGTTGTGCCTGCGCTCCCAGCAGGGGTCAGTGATGGACGCATGGAAGTGGGCAGCACTCAGCAGGCAGCGCCTCTGCTTCTGCTCATGGTGAAGTTCGCAAAGGGGCGTCCGGGTTCATCTGCAGGCCAGGAGCTCATGAGCAGCCTCAGGAGCAGGGGTGTCAGGCGGCAAGGGGGTGAGCGGCCCCTCCACCAGTTCAGTCTGGCTCGACTAAGCAGGTGCAGAGGGCACGAGCTCACATCCATCATCCCACACAGACGCTCCTGGTGCTCAGGTGACCGCGGTCCCCCAATCCTCAGGTTTGCAGGTCCCTCTGCAAGCGAGAACAGGGGGGTTATCTCTTACAGCCCTACACCGGGCCCTGCATGGGGCCCCAAGCAAGGTGTCCAGCTGTCCTGGCTTAGACACAACACCTCCTGGAAGATGAGGCTCACTCCAACATCTGCTGCCCCTCCCTGGCAGGGTCCTGTTTCACGCAAGCCCTGGGTGGCAGAGATGCCATGGACTACGACACCCTGGAGGCAGCAGGGAGCCATCAGCCACCACGAGGATACTCCATGCACCATGGTTGACGCCCATGGCAGTGTCCCCCAAAACCCTTCTGGAGAGCCCTCTCACTTCAGCTGCATTTCTCAGGATGACCTGGAGGCCCCATGCATCACCACCGCCAGGGGCATCCCCTACCCCAGACCCTGGGGAGGGCTGCCAGGAAGGGGTGCTCTTAGGCACCCCTGGTGGATGAGTAGGCCAGGGGGCTCTGCCCTTCTCAGCCAGAGTGGGAGTACCACTTACAGGTACCCTCACCTGCAGTGCACATAGGATCATGAGGTCTTGGTCGTCGTGCCCTTGGTAGTCCCTACCCGCCTAGGGTCAGCTTCCCAGGGAAGCATCTGTGATGGGCAGGTGTTCATGGCGCTGGCAGCCCACTGGGAGCACCCGACTCTCCTTCCAGCCACCTGAGGCCTGGAGTCACTCTGAGGCCACTGCTCCTGCTCGCCGTGTGGGCAGCTTGGCACTGATTCTGCCCAAAGGAGACCTAGCACGCAGGGCTGGCCTCAAACAGGACCCCGCTGCAGGCACCTGCTTCTGCAGCTGGAAACTGTGGGAGCTCCCTGCCCCCCACCTCCCAGCAGCAGGGATCCCACTGACCTGTCCCAGGGCCTCGCCCATGTGCATGGGAAGCCACGGTGTGCTTTTTCGCTAAAGGCAGAGAAAGCAGGACTGCACTGAGCCCCCCCCCCTAGCCTCTGGCCTTTGACCCACAGAAAGCAAAAGCAGATGCCTGAGGCTGAGGGAGGAGAGCAGGCAAGGGAAGGAGGGGTGATGGAACGTTCTGGAACCGGATACGTGCCATGGGGGAAGCAATAAATGCCACTGAGTCATTCCCTTTAAGGTGATTAATTTTGTATGACATAAATTTCACCTCAATTAGGAAGAGGAAAAAATGTCTTTGAAAGTGGTCCAGGAAGTGATGACTGTCTGAGGTCAAGCTGGCAAATATTTGCCCTGGAGGTGGAAGGAGGCCCCCACGGTGGCCAGGCCTCCCTCCTGCCGGCCACTGCCCGCTGTCCCCAGCTGGCTCCTCCCTGCCCAGGTGCCTGACCAGCCGCCATGGGCAGGTCCCTGCAGTCACCCCACTTCACTCTCGCCTCCCTTGGACTGCTGCCCAAGACCCTCGTGCCGGGTCCTTACCACCCATCCCAACCACATCCACCTAACCCTAACCAGTGCACCTGCAGCCTTGCTCAGCCTGCCGCAGAGGCCACTCCCTGTGTGGATGGACGGGGTCTGTCCTTCCGGCTCAGCCAGTGTTCCTCCTCTGTGCGCAGGGGCCACACCCACCTGTGCCCAGATGCCTGACACACCCGGGAGCCACTAAATCAGTGCCCAGCTCTCTGTCCCCAGGACTCAGGCCGCCCTAGGGGATGCTGGAGGTTGAAGGGGTTCAGAGGAAACCCACCCACCTCCAGCTGCTCATGGATCCAGTCCAGGAAGGAGGTGACGCGAGTGTAGACCCCAGGCTTGTTCATCTCGGCACAGCCGATTCCAAAGCTTGTGGCTCCCACCAGCTTCCACAGCCTTCTCTGCTGACACACCAGGGGGCCCCCGCTGTCTCCCTGCATGGCGAGGGGGAGGCACAGGAGGCTGAGGTCCTTGGGGTCCCTCTGGAATGACCCCCAAGATGTGGAGATCCCACGAAGGTCAGTGATGTCTGGGGTGCTCAAGGATGTGCCCTGAAGTAGGTGTGCCCGTGGCCCACCAGGTGTTGGGGTCCCACCTGCCGTGACTTGGCGCCCCAGTCAAGAGTTTGCAACAACCTGCTTGCCTCCATTGTCCCCCAAACCTGAGACTTCAGCCACAGGACATCTGTGAGCCCCTCCCACCACCCAGCCCCAGGCAGAGTGGGGCTCAGGGCAAACACAGGCCCGCTGCCTATCTTCAGCAAACTCTCCCCACGCCCTGTAAATTTGCTTTTCTATCAGTCACAGGGACGCGTGGACCGTGAACTGTCCCCAGGCCTGGGTCACCACCCTGGAGCCCAGCCCACTGTCACCACCCCCGGGGGCATGGGTACCTGGCAGCTGTCCACGCCGCCCTTCAGGTAGCCTGCACATAGCATGGAGGGCGAGATGATGCCACCGTAAACTTCCCTGCGGTTACAGATCTTGTTGGAAATCAGGGGCACGGCCGCGTGGTTCAGGACAGGGGAGGCATCTCCTGCTTCAAGACAGCACCGTGAGAAAGAACCTGGCTCTGCCCACAGAAGCACGGCTCCCTGCACTCACAGAGAAGCTGGGATGAGAAGCTGCCGCTCGGGCCACCTACTACAGCAGCAAGAGACCCGGCAGCAGGCCCACTCGGAACCCCGCTTCTCACGCCCAGCAAGGGACAGACCTGCCATGTCCTCTCCCTTCTCCCGGATCTGGGGCAGTATGTGATCAATCTGCGAGGAGTGAGGGTCTCCCTACAAGTCCTTCAGGGGCTTCCAAGCCCAGGTCACCTCTCCAGCCTGCTCCAAGCCCACCAAGCCCTGCCCTCCTTCGCAGACGCCAGGAAGCAGTTTGAAGTCCCCCAGAGGGAAGATTTGCTACACAGCCTTGTGAGCCATCAGCGAGCCAGTGGTCAGCAGGAAACCAAGAGTGGCCCTGGCTGGGCCACCGGCAGGGGTGGGCAGGGCACCCCCAGCCCATCAGGGAACAAAGGAGCCCCCATAAAGTGTCTCAGGTAAGATTACTCACTGCTCCGCTGGGAATAGTGTGGGGGTGGAGGTCAGAGTCCCCCACCCTGGGCTTCCTTATCAGGGTGGGGAGGAGGCGGGGCCCCTGATGGGCACCCCTGCCAGCTGTGATCTCTGCCTCATACCATGAGATTTGCTGTCTCCCACTGCCCCAAGGAAATGGGAGCCCAGCCCAACCACATCCACCTAACCCTAACCAGTGCACCTGCAGCCTTGCTCAGCCTGCCCAGAGGCCACTCCCTGTGTGGATGGACGGGGTCTGTCCTTCCGGCTCTGGCCTGGCCAGATGTGTGTGCAGAGCAGTAGTGGACCAGTTACCCTGCATCCCAGCCAGCATTGTAAAGCCACACATTATTCTGGGACTTTGGAGGGATCCGTCCCAGCCTGCAGGCTCGAGCCCCATCTCTGACACTGACCTCCATCCTCCGTGGCCCCCCAGCCTGAGGTCCAGCACAGTTTTCCATCTGGGAAGTTCTCCTCGGAGTTGGGCAGGCACACAGGCTGGACCAGCTCTGCGGAAGGGGAGCAGTGCCTTGAGTCTGCCAAAGCCGCAGCAGAGGAAGCAATCCAGGGTTCCCCAGGGGATGACCAAGCCCTGGGAGGTGCCACTCATCTACCGGAGCTCCTGGACAAGTCCAAGGGCCCTGGCAGGGGGCAGCAGCCTGACTTCCCCACCCAGACAGGAAGCAGAGGAGGCCTCACAGGCTGCCGTACCCAGAGCCTAGATAATGGGAGATGCATGGGTCCCATGAGGTCCAATGAGGCTGTCCTCCCCTCGGTGAGCAGGGTCAGATGTGGCCCACGGCATGCTGGGTCCTGCGGGGCTATGCTAGGGGCATGTGTGCTGCCACACAGTTCTTGCCAACACACCCAGGGCAGCCAGTGTGCTGCAGGCAGAGCTGTGCCACTCACACCATCCTAAAGACACGAAGCCTTGGTGACCCCACGCTGAGACTGAGACGTGCCCAGCTGTGCATGGGTGGGGTCCTAACAGGAAGTGATGGGGCCATGGGACTTTTAACCTTTAACCAAGTCCAGGGGACGGGACTTGACTTCCTCAAGAAGCAAAGCATTTGGGAGGAGCTGGACTCAGGGCTGCTGGTCGGGAGAGAGCTTTTCTGAGGGTGGAGCCTTTGGAAAGGGGCAGGGCCTGTCCCACATGTGCCTGGAGCAGTGGGGTGGCACTGGCTGGTAGATGCATCCGGTGGGCGAGCTCACAGAAGCCCTTTCTGCCTGCAGGTGGCGCCAGTGGGAGGATAGCGCCCAGATAGACCAGCATAGGCCTATATGGCCCAGATAGGACATCTGGTACACCTGGGAGGGCTTCCGGAACTGGCAGCTCAGGAGAGGGGCCGGGACCCACAATCCAACGGCATCTACATGGGACAGTTCTCCCAGCATCCCCAGGCACAGCTGAGATGCACACACGGACTGGACTCAGGAGGCTTAGGAGCGGACGCACCGTCGAAGGCCAACGGCCCGGCCAGCTTCATCAGGGCGATGTCGTTGCCCAGCCGCTTGGGCTTGTACTTGCTGTGGTAGACGATCTTCTCCACCACATGGGACGGGGCCGGGCTGTCGAGCAGGGAGACCAGCCCCACCTGCACCACCCAGGACTTGGGAAGGTTTAAGCTGAAACGAGAAGCCAGAGGGGACGTGAAGCCAGGGAAATCCTGGGTGCAGGCAGGAGGCCCCGACTGTAGTCACCCCGAGGCCTGGCGCGGAGCTGCGATTGCCCCATGCATTTCCTAGCCGGGCCTTCCCAGAGTCTGCCCAACCTGCAGAACCATACAACCCTGGGGTCACCGCAAGGCGCCTGCAAGGCACCATCAGGCTGTGAGCCCAGCAGGAGGAGGCTGACACAGAGCCATCCTGGGTGGTCGTCTTCTCCATGACTTTTCTGTCCCCATGAGAAGCTACTTGGCGGAGACGCACGCCCCATGTGCTGCGAATTAAATCGCCCTCAGCAACACCAGCATCTCATATCAGAGTTCAGGCTCGAGTCCCAGCTGGTCCGCGTCCTGCCAGCTCCCTGCTTGTGGCCTGGGAAAGCAGAGGCTAGCCCAAAGCCTTGGGACCCTGCACCTGCACGGGAGAACCGAAAGAAGCTCCTGGCTTTAGATTAACTCAGCTCTGGCTGTTGTGGCCATTTGGGGAGTGAATTAGCAAATGGAAGATCTCTCTCTTCTGTCTCTCCTCTCCATAATCTTCCCTTTCAAATGAAAAATAAATCTAAAACTTATTTTTATAAAAAGGAAAAGGAAAGAAAGGCAATGTGCCATTTGCCCTGAGCTGCCTGTCCCACACGGCACAGCCCCCATCCCTGCCTCTTAGCAGTGTGATCCGCTGTGTTGTGAGTAAGTACAAGTTTGGGTGAGCCTCAGCAAGGCCACGGCCACCTGCTGCTTCCACTCAGCAGCTAAGTGTTCCCCCACACCGCACACCCTGCCTGCCCTCCTCCGTCTGAGCTGCGGGCCATGCATCACTCCCGGTACCCAGTGTCCCTGCCCCCCCTCGACTCACTCATAGACGCAGTGCGCAGCGGTGACGAGCCACAGGGGCGTGATGACAGAGCCCCCGCACAGGTGGTAGCCCTGGAACTGGAGGCTGACTTGCCAGGGCCACTGGGCCAGTGAGGACACGTTGCCACCTACAATGCGTGGGCTGTAGCCCGTCCTCCGGCCGCAGGCTGTGGAGCAAGGACCAGGGTGACTCTGCTGCAGGGGTTCCGGCACTAGAGGCAGGTGCAGGCCCCAGGGAGACTTGAGGACAAGCAGGGCTTGTACAGGAGGCAGTGGCAGCAAAGACTCCCATGGGTGAGCTGTGCTAGTGCTGGCAGACCCCGCCAGTGCCCAGGCCCCGAGTGATGGCAGCAGCAGGACGCCAGCAGCAGGAGCAGCCCTCCACAGGCCCCTCCTCACCCTTGCACCTGCTGGGAAGCATCTTCCCCCACCCCACTCCTCACCCTTGCACCTGCTGGGAAGCATCTCCCCCACCCCACGATGACTCCTGAGACCCAGCCCCTGCAGCAGAACCCCGCCTTCTGCCAGGAGTAAGGGGTACCTGCCCTGCGGACCCCACATAGTGACAGAGGTCATGGACCTGTCCTGTGCCTCAGCCCAACCGCCTCCCCTACATGACAGGTGAGGCAGACAGGTAAAACTGCGTCCCTGCTCTCCCGGGGGTGCACACAGGGGTCCCAGTTGGCACCTGGCAATGGGGGTCTGAGGCAGCAGTGGCTGCCTGGTGGTTCCCTGGGGTCTTACCTATGCACGTCAAGGTGACCACTCGCCCTGAGGTGCACCCTTCCCTAGAATGGAAAGAAGCAGGAATTGTGACACGTGGCCAAAGCCAGCCTAACATGCACATTTAAAAAGTTTGATCTTGGAGTTAAAAGAGAGCAAATTCTAGGCCCCTTGCCCCCAAGCGTGGGTCATGGGTTCCCAGGGTCCCGTAAAGCCTGGCTGAGTTCTGAAGGGCAAATGGAGGAGCACACACGAGCAGGTGTGACCCGTGATCCCTCAGCACTCACCGTGGCCTGCCCCCTTGGGGACACTGATGTTGGGGGCGGAGGCAGGGTGCAGGCTCACAGGACCCCCGCATGGTCCCCACACCTCACAGTGAAGCCCTCCACACAGCCCATGGGAGGGGATGTCCCTGACTGACAGCCCTGCCCCCGCCAGCAGCAGCCAGGGCTGGGTGTGACCCCAGCTTGTGGTGCAGGGGAGCCACTACCGCAAGCTGAGCCCTTGGGACTCTGGCTGCTGGGTCCTGGGCGCCGGCTGCTGCACCGTGCACGGACAGGCGGGCAAGCCTGCTGGGTCCCAAGCAGGGGACATATCTAAGGACACTCCCAGGAAGCCAGCAGGGGTCAGAACGCCTGTGCCCGACCCCCACCACCGCCTACCGGGGGCAAGCAGGTGGCTCTCCGCTCGAGGTACATGACGGTACCTTCCTACAACTGGAGAAGGGAGAAAGCAGATAGCACAAGGCCAAGAGGCGCCTTCGCTGCTTCAATGCCTGCAGTGTCCCTGCCTGCCTTTCTTCTTACCTCCTCTCCTCCCTCCATCTCTCCCTCCCTCCTCCCCTTCCTTCTCTCCCATCCTTCCTCCTCTTTCTCTCCCTCCCTTCTTTCTCTCCCTTCCTCAGTCCCTTTCTTCCTGTCCTCATCCCTGCTTGCTTGTTTCTGGTCCCCAAGCCCCCTGCCCGCCTGCCAGGTGACAGGTGCCACATCGTCTCATGCATGTCATTGTGTCTCTTCCCTCCAGCACCCAGTTTTTCAGTGGGGCCACACTTGCACAGGGTGGGGTTCGGACCGCGCTGAGCTCCCATCCTGCCATCTGCCCAGGCTGACCGGGTCCCCCAAGCCCTGCTCTGGCTCCCTCACACCTCTGGCGCTCTCACCTCAGGTACACTGCGTGCTGCAGCGCGGTCACCTTGTCATCAGGCAGAAGGTGGTTGATGGCCACGAAGGCCCCTTGGAACTGCTCCTCCAGCAGGTCCACTCGGAGGTCGTCAGAGCTCACATAGCTGAGGGGACACAGGGACGTGAGGGAAATGGCCCCTGGCTGAAGTCACCCTGCTCCTGGCACAGCCCGAGCCAGGGGGAGGTCATTTTTGTGCTCACCCCAACCCCAGATCATCAAAAGCTCCCCCTCTGCAAACAGAGTGACGGGCACATGGCTCAGCAAGGTCTGGTGTGACCCACACCCTGCCCACTCAGCCACAGCCCCCTGGAGAGGGCAGCACTTCCTGTTGATGGGGGCAGGGCCCACACCCACTTCCTGCTGATGGGAAGGGTGGTCCTACCCAGGGGACATTCACTTCATGCCCTTTGCTTGGTGAGAAGCCACCCTGGAAGGATGCAGAACCAGGGGCCTGTGTGGTCAGCCCAGCGCAGCCCCCACCCCAGCATGGTGGGCGGGGGGACGAGGCCCTTCACCAGTCCTGGCAGGACCTGCATCGCCCTGCAAGAGGCTGTGGGGAAGAAGGTGAACATCGCCCGTGTACAGAAACAGGTATGTGGGGGCTGCGGTGCAGCACAGAGGGGCTGGAAGAGTCACCTGACTCCAGGCAGAGCCCAGCGGTCAGCCGTGGGCTTGGAGACCTACGCGAGGCAGGAACCATGACCTCAGAGGACGCCGCGGGGCGGCTCAGCGTGCTGGCAGGGGTAGAACTGGTAAGGAAGAGCTGCCTGGGGCTGGGACGGCAGGTGGTCCAGGCCTCACACACATACCGCCCCATGCCTCAGAGCCCCAAGCTCTGACGGCCTGTCCCCCGGTGCCACCCCTGTCACTGAAGGGACACTGAGGCCCGGCACTGAGATTTGGCCCCAGGGTTTGCATGCTGCAGTCCACCTGCAGGTGGCAGAGAGGAGAGGGGTGAGGAGAGCCTGCGGGCCGGACAGTGCGGGCAGGGGCAGGAGGTGGAAGGTGGCCAGTGTGTGAGGGAGAGCTGGGGCCATCCCGGGGCAGCCCCCCAGGAAGCTGTGCTGCCTCATGAAACAGAGAGGCCTCGGGATTGGGGCTTGGAGAGGGAAGGGCGTGTGAAGGGGAGGAGCAACAAGGATCCCCTGGCAGCAGGTCCAAGGACGAGGTTGGAAGCTGCGAGACACCCCTTGGGAAAGCGTTCAGCGGCCAGCTGGAGTACAGGAGGGGTGGGGGTGGAAGTGCGGCGTCTGCGTGTCTGCGTGTCTGCGTGTCTGTGTGTCTGCGTCTTTCTGTGCGTCTGCACTGTATGTGTAAATGACCACCTTTCTCTCCTTGTCTCTGCTGAGTAAGTCCACCTGGGAGAAGGTGCTCACAGAGTGGCCGCTGCCGTAGCTAAACTTGAATTTGAACTGGAATGGCAGTCACTGCCACGTCCAGCCTGTGTGGTGTGAGGAGGCTTCGGGAACTGGCGACAAGGACTCACCCCCGCCTTGCCGGCCTGTCCAGGTCCCCACAGGAGGGTAGTTCCAAGAGAACAGCCCACTTGGAAAGGGGGGCATCATTGCTGCCCTTCCGGATTCACCCGTGGGCTGTGAATGCCCGCACGCTCACCTTGGGAAGCCCAGCTGGGTACAGGCGACCTCTGCGTGGTGGCCATTCCAGTCCTCGGCGCACACGGTCCTCCACGCAGCGGCCGTGAACACCTGCAGCGCTGCGTTCTGGCCACTTACCCGCACTGGCCAGTGACAGGGAGGGGCCCATGAGCGGCCGGGCCGAGGGGCCTAGTCCTTCCCCCACCACAAGGCCCTCAGCATGCCCCACTTTCTCGGCACCTCCCAAATGGATGCCCAGTCTTAGTGTTGGTGCACTCTAACCAGCTGCGGCAGAGTCCCCTAGGCCAAACCCCCAGCCTGGCTTCTCCAGGGCCAGGGCCTGCCAGACCCCAGCAGAGGATGTCGCTGACCATGGCAATGGCCGTTCCCAAGATGAGAAGGGTAAGGTTGGGTTCTGCCAACCTCCTCCCACTTCTACGGCGGCTGGCGGGGTTGGGGTAGTCCAGAGGAGACCTTACCACACCGGAACTCGTCCTCCCCGTCTCTGCAATCCGAGACCCCGTCACATCGAGCTGACAGTTCAATGCACTTGAACGAGGAACGACACCTGTACTTCCCAGAGCAGTCGAAGTGGACTGGGATGGACAGGAAGATGAGAGGACGAGGTGGGGGGATGTGAGCAGACAGCCCTGGCAGCACACAGCCCATGACCGTTGCCCATCTGCCACGTGGTACTCAGGCATGAAACCAAGGATGCACCCTAACACCTGCCAGCAGCAGCCCAGTTTCTGCTGAATTCCGGCGGCTGGGGCTGCCACACCCCACTTTGTCTGCAGGGGCCGTGACTCAAGGTGAAGTCGGACTCTGCAGGGCTCAGGGTCAAGAGTGAAACTCCAGGGTTGTGGCGGCTGGCCGACCAGCTGAGCTGGCCCAGCTGGCAGTCTGCACCCAGCTCTGCCCTGCACCCAGGAGGGGATGAATGGACTATGAAACCCACTTCCAAGGGGGTGGTGAATCACCTTCCGAGGGAGTGAGTGTTCCCTGAGAGACCCTCCCCCCAACGCCCCCACTCCCAAAAGCCACGTGTGCCTTAGGATAAAAATCGCAGCTATCCTTGGCACTGCCTGAATAAGCCTCTTTGTGGCTTGTGCCGCATGGTTCCCCTGCCCCTCCCCGACCAGGGAGATCCTATTCCGTCAGCCGCCTCTGAGCAGGTGACCTGGTGACGAAGCCCCCGACCTGGCCAACAGGCCCTGCAGGGCCCCACCCAGGCAGGCAAGTAAGACCCAGGGTGAGCAGCTGAGAGGCTTTCGGCAATTAAGGCCACACGGGGGAAGTTCTTGAAAGGTGGGGTGCGGGGGGGGGGCACCTGAGAGCCTGCTCAATAATGCATGCATGGTACTCACTGCCCAGGCCGATGGCCAGCGCCAGGATCAGCGCGATGAGCCCCACAACCAGGATCGGAAAGAACTTGAGGGGCAGCAGCGACAGGATCTGGGCGGCCACTGCGTCTGCATCTGCCAACCAGAGGGAAGCAGAGGGAAGCCGGGGGACCCCGATTGATTGACAGCCTTAACTAACAGGCAGTGCCGGCTCCTGCCTCGCCCTGTGCACAGGCAGGGCCTCCCAGAAGCCATCTGCCCCAGGAAAGGCACCATGCTGTCTCTGAGGTCAGTTCCACCCTCTCCCACTCCAAGCTGGCTCTGCCCGAGCAGCATAGGGATGGCTCTCTGAGGGGGCGCCCCCAGCATCCCCAGATTCAGTCACGTCTGGAAGCAGGTGGTGAAGAGGAGCAGGGTGTCTGGTGTCAAAGGGGACAGGTGTACATGGAGACAGACATGCACAGAGGAGCAGACGTTAAACAAAGGACAGAAGGAACGGCCAGTATGACGGCATACAGGCTAACCCTCTGCCTTACGGCATCAGCATCCCATATGGGCGCCGGTTCGTGTCCCAGCTGCTCCACTTCTGATCCAATTCTTTATTTATAGCCTGGGAAAGTAGAGGAGGATGGCCCAAAGCCTTGGGCCCCTGCACCCACATGGGAAGCTCCTGGCTCCTGGCTTTGGATCAGCTCAGCTCTGACCATTGAAACCATTTGGGGAGTGAACCAGCAGATGGAAGTTCTTTCTCCATCTCTGCAAAATCTGCCTTTCACATAAAAATAAATTAATTTTTAAAAAAGTGGGAGAGGAACACAGGGAGAGTGTAGTCCTGGGAAAGGGGAGGCAGCTGGCAGAGGGATGCCCCTATAGGCCAGCACTGTAGGCCAATACTCCAGCCCTGCTGGAGGAGCCCGGAGAGGGTGTGGCCATTGCTCAGACCATCTCACGAGGTGGCTTTCCCCAGAGCAGGGTCCCCGCAGGCTTGCTGCCTGCTAGGAAAGCCGACAGTGCCCTTAACTCAGGGTGTCTGGCTCCAGTGCAGCCCCCCACCCATGCCATCACATCTGGGCTGGTCCCTGCACTGGGATGCTCGGAGGGCAAAGCCACCAGCTCCTGTGGGATGCCTGATCCGCTTCCCTGCTCAGAGACTCGTTAGATGACACAGGCTAAGGGGTCTCAGTGGTTGGTATGCGTGGAGGGCAAAACCAGATGCCACAAGTCTGGCCCCCAACAGCGCCAGTTGGAGCTGCAATCACCGGACAGCCTCATCTGCCCCCCAGCGGTGAGGAGGTCAACTGCAAAAGGGGCGAACAGGAGGATTGCAAGCTTGAAGTAGCAAGGAAAGCAGGTGGCTGGGCAGAATGAGAGGGCAGCAGGACAAAGAGGTGGAGAGGAAGCGAGCCGCTGCCAGGGAAGGCCGGGAGTGCATGTGGATCCGTCCAGATTCCTCCCTGCAAGAACCCCGGGCGTGGCGGCACTAACAGTGTGGATGCATGGGCAACAGCCCAGGAGGCCGGAAGGCAGGAACGGGTGGGAGCATAAACGCACACGACTTACACACACTCCAACACGGAAAACTCCATGTAACACCCAGGCTATAGACCTGTTAGACTTCACGGCCTACTACTGCTCCGAACTGCTGTGGTTGCCCAAGAAAGAGAATGGAAAAGAGAATGTGTGCCAATAAAACTTCATCTGCTGTGAACAAATGCATGTGAGCATGTGTGACAATAAAACTTTATTCATAAACACAGGGTGCAGACCATGAGCTGTGGTTCACCCACACCTGAAAAATCCTGGATTAACCTAACGACAGAGAAGTTTTCAAACAGCACAAAGTACATCGCTTTCAAAGGGAAATAAATAAAGTGCCAGAAAGCCAATGAGAGCTGCTTGCAGCACCCCGGCAGCATGGCTGTCCGGCATTGGCACTCACAGGTGAGGATGCCGCAGTGGGAAGGGCTGCGTTTGGGGCAGGGACCTGGGGCGCCGTCCTTGGCTCACCTACAGGCTACTGTCTGAGCCGCATTGAAGCCACGTGCCTCACGCTTCCTTGGACGCTGTCCTCCTCCACCCCCTCTTCTCCGAATCACCTCCCCACCAGCTGCCCTGGGATTTCAAAGGGGTCACCGGGGAACCCCCACTCTGCTTTCTGGGCCACCTGGTGAGGGTGTTGCCACACTGCCCTTCATAGCCCCAAGGGGCTGCGCCCCCAGCTGCGTTTACCTAACCATCCACAGGCCCAGGTTCAGCCAGTCCACAGCTTCCTGTGGCAGGTCCTGGGGTGCACCTGCCAGAATGCCCTCAGCGCTGGGAGCCACGCTGGCTGTTGCGTGTGCATCCGCGGTCTCCGCACCCATCACCGGAAGCAGGAGGTGGTCAGTGGGGCTCAGGACTTGCCGGTAGGAACTTAGGAAGTCCTGGCCAAGGTCTGCCTCCTCAGGACTGACATGAGCCCCTCCTCCGAATCTGATAACCCCCCAACCAGAGGAGAACTGCAGGGCATATAGCCAGGGACTGTCCCCCTCAAATGCCCCTTCCCACCAGGGTTCATGCAGGCCAGGCAGGGCAGGGGTCCCAGCTGGGGGGACATCTGGGGCGATGCCTGCCTCCACCCCAACCCCGCCTTGGCCCACGACCCCCACCCGGGCCCTCATCCCTCTCCCTAGCCCCTCACCCCCACCACCCGGAACTCAGCCAGGCTGGCGCTGTGGATGCCAGGTGGGGATCTCACAGCTCCCCCCGGTCCCACCTACCTGGTACAATAGGGCTGATTTTCAAGTCATCAAGGCCAAAGAGCGACCTGAAGGAGAAGGGGGCCTCAGAGGCCGGAGGGTCGTTCTCCCCCATGGTGACTATCTCAGGCCCTCTGAGCTCCGGCTCCACCTCCACCTGCCGAGCCAAGAACAGGCAGCGTCTGTCTCCCGCCGCCTGCAGTTGGCAGCAGCTGGGCGTACCTTGCAACTTTATAAACCTTTAAAGTCCCCGCAGCAAGCTCCGCCAAACACACATTCAGCCTCCGAAGCACCGAGCGTTCACCTGGAGTTCCACCAAACCCACCGCCCACCTGCCCCTTGCCCTTGTACGAGTTTAAGGATGGGCCTCTAGTCTCTCAGAAGCAGCGGCCGGGGACTTCTAGGACGACAGTCAAGCTCTGTCCCCCAACACTGGATCCTTTGTCTGGGGGCACCCGGGCGGAGCCATGCGAGCCTCCATAGACTCAGGGGACCCCAGCTTCCCCTGTAGATGCCTCCAGGGGAGAGGCCGGGGAGTGGCTCCGTGGACACAGCCCTCGCCCTGCCCCCACGGGCCTGACCTAGTTCAGGGTGCTTGTTCCGCCGCCTTGGGCTTTCTGGCTAAACACGGTCTCTTGCTAGCACCAGGCGGTTTGACTTAGGGACTGATGGGAAGGCATGAGAGAAGCGAGGGAGAAAGCTGCCTCCTCGCCCCGGACAGGCCGCGGTCCAGCGCTGCCCCTCCCTGCGCTCACGCACTCACCGTGTCAGGAGCCTCCATCGTGGGGGGCAGTCGTGATTTCCCAGAAGGCCAGACCGGGTGGGGAATGCGTCCCCTCGGCCCTCGGCCCTGTGGTTTCGGTCATGGCAGCTGGTGGCATCAGCGCGGGTGTCTGCGTAACCCGAGCTGGACGTGGCTATCAGGTGGCCCGGGTGTGTGGTTCCGGGGCCCCAGGAGGAGGTGGACGTGGCTTCTCTTTAATTAGTCAAGAAGGTAAGCAGGCCTTGGCAGGTACTGCCCGTGAGAGAGTGCCGGGTGGTGGGCCAGGGGGTGCGGCGGCTGCCAGCTCCCAGGGGATTCTGTGCAAGGTCCCAACACTCGCTTGTGCACAGAGCCCCTTCAGGATGCTCACGCCATGGAGACAGGCCCGCCTGCAGAAGGCCTGGAGGGGGTCTGGGAAGTGGTCACTGGTGAACGGACAGATGGGAGGGTCTCGGGACTGGATGGGGGCTTCACTGGCTGCGTGCCCGGGCATACCCAGAGGCGACAGAGCAGCAGTGGGGGCCTGGGGTCACGGGGGTAAGGAGTTATTCGAACATCCCACCCTGGGCCCAGCGCCATTTCTTCTTCCTCACAGCTCACGAAATTTGCACGGGTCCAGCCATCCACCAATCAGATGTAACCCGGCATTCCTCCTGAGAATCCCACCCCCATCTCCCAGCCGCTCTCTCCTTCCCCCTTTCCTCCTTGCCTCTCCAACAGCGCTCTCTCTCTCTCTCTCTTTCTCTCTTTCTCTCTCTCTCTCTCTCTCTCTTTCTCTCTCTTTCTCTCTCTCTCTCTCTCTTTCTCTCTCTTTCTCTCTCTCTCTCTCTCTTTCTCTCTCTTTCTCTCTCTCTCTCTCTCTTTCTCTCTCTTTCTCTCTCTCTCTCTCTCTTTCTCTCTCTTTCTCTTTCTCTCTCTCTCTCTCTCTCTCTTTCTCTCTTTCTCTTTCTCTCTCTCTCTCTCTTTCTCTCTCTTTCTCTTTCTCTCTCTCTCTCTCTCTCTCTCCTTTTCTCTTCTTCTTCCGGCCTCCCTTCCCCCCTGCCCCTTCCCTTTTTCCCTTTTTCTCTGCACCACCTCCACCCCGCTCCTGCCCCACTGGAATAAACCCCCTAAGATACCTCGTTGCATCTGGTGTTTTCAGCTCACGGTAAAGAACCAGGCTGTGGAAATTAGCTGCGTGTAGTAATATCATAATATCGTAAGAACTAGAACTCTAACCTTTTAATATAACTAACAACGGGGATTCTGCGTCAGGCCTATCAGGCAGGTGCTAAGAGGGCAGCCTCTGGGGAGAAGCCACAGCTGAGACACATCCCTGGGGACCGCACCATGTGAGTGCCGGGAAGGGCCCCCAGCAGGGTGACCTCCAGAGGCCCAGGGTGAGGGAGACGAGAGAGAGGTGGGGCGGTATGGCAGCAGGCATGCAGGTCAGGCAGGGTCTGGGACTGCTCTGAGCAGGTGCAGAGTCGGGGGCCCTACACACTGGCACAGGACAAGGAGATGCTGCCGGATGCCACCCTGCTGCCACGTGGACAAGGCATGAGTGGGAGGCAGTGGGAGCCAGCATGATCAGGGTTGGCACCAAAGGTGGGGTTTGTAGCATTTGTCCTCAGCTCAAGACACACCCCGAGAGTCGTGGCACACTATGAGGGCTCGAGGAACCGGGTCCCCGACACCCACGTGGGAGGCCTGGTTGCAGTTCCTGGCTCCAGGCTTCTGCCTGACCCAGCCCCAGCTTGTTGTAGCCATTCAGGAAGTGAACCAGCAGATAGGGGATCTAGAACGATCCATCTTTTTCTCTGCATTTCAAATCAATCCTATACATCAACACTAATTAGACCAAAGCTCAGATGCGCAGGACTGAACTCAACCACAAAATCAGGATTGTATCAATATGTCCAGTGAGGGTCAAGGGCCAGGATAGTTTTCCAAAGGCTGGGACTCCCTGCCATAAAGCAGTGTCTTGGCAAGTGTTGTGGGCTAAGGAGTTGATTAGCACTAACAGGAAATGGGCTTGCGGCTAAAAGCACTTGGTCTAATCAGACTCATTGGCATCCTATTATTTGGTTAAAGGGCTTGGAAAGAGTGTGAAAGGAGTAATAAAGGGAGACTTCCGGGAGACTTGCACCATCACTGGTCTCCTGTCGGTGCTTCATCCCCAGACCCTCTCCGTGTCCACGTTACTGGCTCTGCTGGCCAGAGCAAATGGCGCCTAACGTGGGGCACAGCACGAGGGACAATCTGAGGAACCCCTGGACCTAAGAAGGTAAGTTTAGAATTTTTAAATTTTGCAGGGACATACTGATTTTATCCCCAGACCCTCTCCCTGTCCTATGGCATGAGGGACAATCTGAGGGACCCCGGAAATCTACAGGCAAGTTTAAAAATTTTGCAGGGGCATAAGTAAAATTTATCATGGGGTAAGAACTCGCAAAAGTACAGATTAAGGGAATCTGAGATCTGCTCCACTCACAAGGCACCGACACTAAGCTTAAGGCTTCGCAGAAGTTTGTTGAAACTGCGACATATTCCCATGGTTTGCCCTCCTTGGAGCCACCTTTTCCTCTGGCACTTGGTAAATATTGCTTTGTCATTCCGTCAAACGCAACCCTTCCTTCAACAATTGTCTGTAAGAAGGGGAGGGAGACACAAACCAGAGTAAGAAGACAGAAGGAACCCCAAACTGAGACCCCAAACCAGGGTAAATGAGAAGGAACCCCAGACCAGACGAAGTCTGGAGCAACTGCAAGAAGTAGATTTGGAGTCCTCTTCTGAGGAGGAGGAAGGGGAAGAGGATGGAAGTGAGTCTTCCGAGGATCCCCCACCATAGAGGATATGCCCATAGAGCATGTGCCAACAAAAATCCCTTTTGGCCAGGCACAGAGCCCTCTGCACCACCTGTGCCATCAGCACCATTAAATCTGGGTACAGGTGTGAAAGATTTACAGGAGCAACTTCAGCATCTCCCTTCAGTTGAGGCAGGAGCAGGGCGGATGCACTGCCGGGGCTCGCGGTGGACCCCTGCTTTCAACTTCCCTTTCAGCTGTGGAACGTACGGTTCAGCAAGCGCAGAAGGGAGACGCTGAGGCAGCTGCCCTGGCTAGACACTTTGCCTTCCCAGTCGTTGAGGTAGAAGAGAAGCAAAGGCACAGAATCAGCACATGGCACTATCTTTTAAGGACATAAAGAATTTGAGGGACTCTAGCCTTGTGTGGGCCATTGGCCCCCTTCACTTTTCCATGATTGAAGCCTGGGCATCTACCAATTAGACCCCACCCATTGGAAGCTGGGCTGAAAGCTTTGCTCTGATAGCAGTTCTTGGGATGCTGATTTTGTTAGTCAGGCCTTCTATTGCTGACAGCTGGCTGCTTTTTGATTCATCCACACCTCCATTACCTGATCCTAAGTTTTCTGTTGCCTGATTGTCCACCTTTTAAATATCTTTATAATATCAGGAAGAAAAGGTCAAGGAAAAAATTATTGTTTACAGAACTTGTCCTCTAGGCTTGCAAATTGTACTTTGGAAGGACTTTTGTTGTGATAAATGTTTAGCAAGCTAACTTCATCTGCATATCCATGGTAACTTTGGGGAATTTAGAATTCAAAAAAATACAAGTAATACAAGACAAATCTCTTGTAATTCTTAAGGTTTCATTTGTAATCTTTTTGATGGCTGCCCAGGGCACTGGAGAGTAGGGGCTGGTCTGCTCCACCCCAGTTCAGCCTGGAACAGGAGGAGCCACAGGAGCCAGTTACGTCACTGACCTGGCGGGATTCCAGGTGACCAATGGCACACCTGAATGGACATTCCTTGCATAGTTGGGACACAGACAGCCCTTTGCCCATCCACGTGTCTAGAGGGGTATAAAACTCCTCCACACGTATCTCAGACGCCGTTTTCGCTTCCCTCTTCCTTCCCCTCTGCGCGAAGGGGGCCCAGGAGCAGATTTTCCAATAAAATTTCCATCTCAACTCTGAACAACTTGCCAATATGATTCCACCAGTGGGCGGGCAGGCAGTGGCCATCATCTAAAACTTTTCAAAAATGTGAAATTTTATCGCAAACAATTTGTTGTAGAAAGCAAACTCTAACACACTATTAAATTGTTTCAAGGTATAAGTTAAATTAACATAGTATTCATTGTATACAAAGCATTTTTATAGTTTAAAATAATTCTTGTGTTTTTGGCTGGTTGTCAAATTTCTCATTGCTTTAAATTGTTAAAGGTTTTGTATTTGTTTTTTTTAAGATTTATTTTTATTATTTTTTTATTGGAAAGGCAGATATACAAAGAGGTGAGACAGAGAGGAAGATCTTCCATCCGATGATTCACTCCCCAAGTGAGCGCAACGGCCAATGCTATGCCGATCCGAAGCCAGGAGCCTTT